AAGATTCCTTTCAAAATATTACTGCTCATTTGACAATGCACCTGTCCACCCAAGAACTCTTATGGAGACATACAATGAGATCAATGTTGTTTTCATGTCTGCTAACACAATACCCATTCTGCAGCCCATGGATCAAGGGGTAGTTTTGACTTTCAAGTCTTCTGAGTTAATACGTGCATTTCATAAGGCTATAGCTGCTATAGACAGCGATTCCTCTGATGGATTTGAGCAGTCAATTGAAAACCTTCTGGAAAGGATACACCATCCTAAATGCCAATAAGAACATTTGTGATTCTTGGGAAGAGGTCAAAGTATCAATATCAACAGGGGTTTGGAAGAAGTTGATTCCAACCCTTATGGATGACTTTGAGGGGCTCAAGACTTCGTGGAGAATGTCACTGCAGATGTGGTGGAAAGAGCAAGAGAACTAGAATTGGAAGTGGGGCCTGAAGACGGGACTGAATTGCTGCAACCTCACAAGAAAACTTTAAGGAATGAGGAGGTGCTACTTATGGATGAGCAAAGAAAGTGGTTTCTTGAGATGGAATCTAGTCCTGGTTTAGATGCTGTGAAGATTCCTGAAATGACAACGAAGGATTTAGAATATTACATAAACTTAGCTGGTAAAGCAGTGGCAGGGTTTGAGAGGATTGACTCCAATTTTGAAGGAAGCTCTACTGTGGATAAAATGCTATCAAACAGCAGTGCATGCTACAGAGAAAGTGTTCATAAAAGGAAGGGTCAGTTGTTGCAGCAAACTTCATTGTTGTCTTCTTTAAAGAAATTCCCACAGGCACCCCGACCTTCAGCACCCACCACCCTGATCAGTGGGCAGCCGTCAACATCGAGAGGCAAGACCCCCCACCAGCAAAAAGATTATGACTCACTGAAGGCTCAGATGATGGTTAGCGTTTTTTAGCAATAAAGTACTTTTTAACTAAGGTGTGTACATTTCGTGAGACGTAATGCCATCGTACACTTAATCGACTACAGTACAGTGTAAACATCACTTTGATATACACTGAGAAACCAAAACATCTGTGTGACTCACTTTATTGTGGTATTTGCTTTATTGTGGTGGTCTGGAACTGAAACCAAGTATCTCCAAGGTATGCCTGTACCAAAAAAAAAATAGATAGAACACATAAATGGAGCCAAAAAGAAATTCTGGAGCTAAAAGGAACAATAATTGAAATGGAAACTCCACTAGAGAGATCCCAAAACAGATTTGAGCAGACAGAAGAAAGAGTCAGAGAACCTGAAGATAAGACGACTGAAATTACAAAATCTGAGGAACAGAAAGAAAAAGGATTGAAGAAAAGTGAACACCATCTAAGAGACCTGTGGGACACCATCAAGTGGACCAATACACACATTCCATAATGCATGTCCCAGAAGGAGAGGAGAGAGAGAAAGGGGCAGAAAAACTATTTGAAAAAATAGTGGCCCAAAACTTCCTTGAAATTGATGAAAGACATGACTGCAAATATCTTTAAAAGCTTGGTGCGCTCCAAGAAGTATAAACACTAAGAGTTCCACACCAAGACACTTCATAATCAAACTGTAGAAAGACAAAGAAAGAATTTGGTGAAGGTGTTCGTTCATTCGGCTGTTCCCTGAATTTTATGTAAAAATCTATGGGGAAATTTCCCCTATCATGCTTGCTAAAAATGTTTTTAAACTTTCCAAAGTTACTTCTTTAAAACGTTTTCACTACAACTAATGGAATAATGCAAATATATACCATTTCTACCTGCTTACCTCTCCATTCCTCCTTTTCAATCTCACATCTTCATTCCTCAGCGTAACTGTTGTAGGAGCTCTTAGAGACATCTCAATATTCGTTTTTCTTCTTCATCTTAGTCTAACAAGCCCCAAATTTTAGCTGGTGCATTGCTTCCCAGCTAGGACTATATCTCCCAGCTTCCCTTGCAGCTACATGTGGTTGTTTCTAGAATCTGGTCAGTGAGATTAAGTGGAATTGTCACATCTGGGAGACTTCTCAGAGTTCTCCTTTAAAGGCAAGCCTCTTTCTCCCTCTTTCCTGCCTCCCTCCTGTTGCCTTGCATGTTGACAAGATGGCTGGAGCTCTAGCAATCATCTTGAACCATGAGGACAAGGGCCATATCATGGGACAGTAGAATGGTGACCCAGAAGGAGCCTCTGTCCCTGGTGATTCCAGCTTCCATCCTGGAATGTCTATCTCTGGACCTCTTTTACATTCGTGAGAAATGAGTTTCTATCTCATTTGAGTCACTTTTTTTCTCAGTTTCTATTACTTACAATCAAACCTAATTCTACCTGATAACAAACATTGGCAACTCTGGTGTTTCTTTCCACATATTTCTCTAGGCCATATAGCTATATATACATGCAAACACATATACATATGTGTAATTCTTTTAATGTCTTTTGTTTAAAAATGGAGTCAACACACGTCTCTGCTTCTAACTTTTTACAAAAAGAATAATGTAAAGGCAAATTTAAGAAAAAAATTGCATGTTATTTATCACTCTCTAATGAGCAAAGATTTTCAAAAGCCTGTTTCAATGCATGAAGTTAAATGAGCGCCCTCTAGCCCCGCTGGTGGGGAAGGAACGTATACTCTCAGGACGATGATTGAACAACACGTAACAAGAGCTTTAAAATGTTCCTACCCTCCGATGCAGCAATTTCCCTTCTTAGATTTATGGTGAGGAAATACAGAGGTGCAGAGATCTATGTCTGGGAATGTTTATGACTGTCTTGCACATAATTCTGGAGACGCTAAAAGCTCACCAGTGGGGAAATATTCAATGAAATACGGTACATCCACAAAAGGGAATACCATGCAGTCATAAAAGTGCTGTTTATAAATAATGCTAATGACAGAGGAAAATGCTCCCCATATAATGGGAAAGAGCAAAGTTGCAAACCATACGTGAAAAGCTATATGAATCCCACTTGGGAAAAAGCCCAGAAGTAAACATTTTTAAATGTTAATGTCAGGTCTCTCTAGGGGTAGCACTACAGGAAACGTTTGCTCCTTTACACATTTTTCTTTGTTTCCTGGATTATAGTAAACATTTACCCAGGTGCGGGGGAGGCAAAGTCGGAATTAATACAATAACAGTAAATACTGATTGCTTCTCGTGTGATTAATGCCGGGCACTGCATGAGCTCAGAAACTCGGGCCGATGGAAGGCTTTTTCCTGCTGAGGCCACAGAATGACCAGTATCCCGATGGACACAGTGCAGCCTGGCCTGTGGCCGAGCATGGAGAAATCGGAGGGGAGGTGGGCGAGAGAAGCAGAGATGACCTCACTTCCCAGGTTTCACGGGCATCCCTCAGACGCCCTACCACCCTACTGTCCCATTTCACAGATCGGGACCACCAGGCCTGTGACCCCTCCCTGGCTGTGAGCTGCTTGGCCCACCCATGTCTGTGTGTTGGATTTACAGCCATGGACCAATGCCCCGCTCGTGCTGCAGGGCTCTCCCTGGTTGGGAGGTGCATTGCAGGTGTTTCACGGCACTGCATCCCTTTTGGCTGCACGGCTCGGGGGGGGTGGGTGGGCGCAGGCAGGAGGGGAAGGGGCCTTCACCAGCCTGTGCCCTGCCCAGGCGGCCTCTTCTTCTCACAATCGAAGGTCTTGCTTGGCTGCACAGAATAGGGACCCCATCTGCTATTAGAGAAAGAGAAACATTTCCTGTCTCTGTGCCCTAACATCAGGTGAGAAATGCAAAAGGAAGTGTACCCCCAAACTGCACCACCTGCGGTGGGCGGGACGGAGGGTGGTAGCCAGCCCCCTCCCTCCGCCATCCGTCTTCGGCTCCTGGATCTTGGCAGCTCTACTGCCAGAGGGGCAATAAAAGTCTCGGAGTGATAGAAGGCAAACAGTAGAGGCTGCAGAATAAGAGTTCCTATGGCTTTGAAATGGGGCCAGTTCGGATGCCTTTTCACGCGCCTCCCATGCAGTAGTTGGTGCTGGTTGGGAATGAAAAGAAAAATGAGAAACTAAGGTTAGCCCTGGGGTTCTTCTTCTTCCTTTTTATTCAATTGGTTTTTTGTTTTTTTTTTTTAATTCTGAACTGTAAAATCTGGCGCTGACGCCCCAGACGGCTGCCCGGCCCACTCAGGAGCTGCCCGACCTTCTGGTCCAGGTGGACCCCAGGCTCTGGGCCTTGGCCTTGGCTGCTCAGGGCAGCCCCCTTTCTGCCTACTGGCCAGGCGCCTGCCCTCGGCTCCCATAGGGCCCTGGGCAGCCCGCTGCCCTGGGGGAGGGGGCCTTGTTGGCTGTGTGCCTGGTGGGGGCCAGGGGTGACGGTGGCCTGGCCAGGGGGAGCTGTGGGCAAAGGGCAGCTCCCGTAGCAGGCTGGTGATGCGGTCCTGGGCGTGAGGCTGGAGTGAATTAGTCCATCCCTCCCACCAGTGTACGTTCCCAGAAGGCAGAGGCCAGTGGGGCTCCCTGGTGTAGCCCTGGGCCTAGAACAGTGCCTGGCACACAGTAGGCTCTTAATGAATACGTGTTGAATGAATGAACGGACAGATGACGGGCTTGATCCTCAGGATGGGAGGGGGGAGGGGCCCGGGAGGAGATGCAACCCCGCCTCCCAGAGGTGATGGTCTGGGCTGCATTCTGACTGTCTGGGGGTGCGTGGAGGAAAGCTCCCCCTCCTCGCTGCAGGGGCAGATGGGAGGAGGTGTCACTGCGCCCCACCCAGTATAGAGGGTGGGAACGTCATCTCCATTTCGGAGGTGGGAAAACGGAGGCCCAGGGAGGTAAAGGGACTTGGCCAAGGTCATAGAGCTGAGAGGGCAGAGCCAGGATGAAAATCTAGGTCAGCCTGACTCCAAGAGGGGTGTGGCCAAGCCCCTCACTCCCGCCAGGCCTGAGGCCTGCCCCGCCCCCCAGGCCTGCTCACCCCTCCCCCCATTCCCCCTCCCCCCCCAGGCCAGCTTCCCTCTCCCGCGTGGGCCCCCAGCCCGCCTCTGACCCCGGCTCCCCCGCCGTCCCCAGGATCTGCAGGTCATCAGCACAGACGAGAGCCAGGTGTTCGTGGCCGTGCAGGAGTGGTACCAGACCGACACCTACAACCTCTACCAGTCGGACCCGCGCGGCGTACGCTACTCGCTGGTGCTGGGGGACGTGCGCAGCTCGCGGCAGGCGGAGGAGAGCGTGGTCATCGACATCCTCGAGGTGGGACCCTCAGTACGGGCTGTGGTGGGCCAGGTGGCACCCCTGTCCCGGCTTCCCCCCGCCTCCCCATCTCCACTGCTCCAACCCGGGGACCTGCCAAAATTCTGTCAAGGGCCAAATATTTTAGACTTTGCCGGTCAAAAGGGTACTACGCGGGTACTTTTAGAACAGGAGAGAAAACTTGCTCTTTCTGATGAAATTCAAGTAACGGTAATGGAGTACCGTGTGATACAGGTCTGCTAATGAGAAGAATGGAATTTGGGGGGGATAACATTCTGCTGAGTTGGGGTTCAGGTTAGTGGTCCCCATCATCGACTCGATCACCATCTGTCATCTGTAAAGCCGTTCCTGCCCTGAACGCCACTGCATGAAACAGGCAGGTGACAGAAGCTGGGACCCTCCCCTGTCCATCTCCGGCCTCGCGGCCTCCCCGGCCCCAGCCCTGGTCTCCTTGTCCCTCCCCTCTCTGTATCCCATGTCCATCTGGCTGTCTCTTGCTCCCTCTGTCTCTCCCTTGGCCCTGCAGCTCCTCTCTCTGAGGTTGGGGGTTGAGGCCTCCCTGCCTGCAGTCCTCAGACCTCCCTGTGCCCTCCCTGGGGTCCCACCCCCATCTGTGTCCCATTTAAGCCACTTGCTCTTGTCACGTGACACCGAGGGGCGGATCAGAGGCTCTGAACTGGGGCTTCCGGCTCCCACGCCGGGCTCCCTCCCCCGAGAAAACACCCGCGCACCATCCTGTACTTGGATTCCGTGAATGTCAATCCCTCACCCACAGTGGGCCCAGCCTGGACCTGGCCTTTCACGGTCACCTCCTCTGTTCTTGTCCACACCAGAGCCGGGGAGGGGGTCCCTCAGCCGCTTTACAGGTAAGGAACCTGAGGCTCAGACAGGGCAAGCCACCTGCCCAGGTAGACCAGAAGTCAGCGAAAAACCAGAAGTGGCCCAGGTCTGTCGGTCCAAGCTCCATCCATCCTCCTGGCCAGCACTCCCTCGGCAGGTCATTCACCCTTAAATTCCTCCCTCACGCCCTGCCCTCAGGGAGCCCCCAGCCAGTGGGCTCACCTGCAGGGGCCATGTGTTCTCGTAGTAAACGCCGGTGGCGGTCCTGCCAGGCTCTGCTGTCCCTGCGGAGCTGCGGAGGGTGGCCCGTGGGTGGCGAGCTGAGCCTTGGGCATCAGTGCGTGTCAACCCGGGTGGGAGGCGTCCTCCTGGACAGAGCCAGGGCTGCAGCCTTCCTCTTTGAGTTGTCAACAGCTGAGCAGAACCAAGGGAGTAATGAACGTAATTATTTGTTTACAATGAGAACCCATTTGTCAGGGTTTACTTCCCGAGCTGGACGGCCTGTGGCTCACTGCTGCTTGCTGAAAGTTACGCACAGGACAGGCGTGTAATCGACACGTAAGGAGGGCACCTCGGGCGGGAACGTCCACGGCCCACTGCGGGTGTATGTAGCTCCTGTACCGCACGCCAGGCCCCAGGCCCTACCCCCCCGGGGCACAGGGAGGAGTAGACCACCTCTCATAGGGCTCCGGACTCTACAGGAAGGCCAGCTCCCACCTGGTGTGTCAGCCTCTAGAAGACACCATGAGGGGCAGTCGGCCAGCCCAGGGTGGAAGTCGGGGAGTACTTCCTGGAGGAAGGGGTGCAGACCGAATTGAGGCTGAGCAGAAGTTAGCCAGCTGAGGAGCCAGGGAACAGTGATTCACGCCAAAGACCAGGCAGTGAGAGGCCGTGGGGATGGGAGGGAGTTCACAGTGGCCAGATCCAAAGCTGGGCCCCCTCGCAAGTGACTGTGCTTCTCCGAAATCCACTTAATGGGGATCACAGGTAGTGGTTACAAGCACAACCCTGGAGCCCCACTGCCGGGGTTCAAATCCCAGTTCTGGTATGTATTTGCTGTGTGACCTTAGGCACATTACTTAACCAGTCTGTGCTTCAGTGTCCCCATTGTGCAATGAGGACGACAGTAGTACCTTCCTCAGAGGGTTGCTGTGTGAATTCGAGGCCTCCGTTTCCGTTAAACACATACGGCAGCACCTGGTGCCAACTCAGTGCTCGGCAGGCTCTCGACAGTTTTCACCGCAGGTGCCTTTTCTGTGGATTCGAGATAGGAAGGGCCTGGCCTAGAGGTTCTACACATGCCCCAATTCCATTACTGTCATGGTTATCGTTCATCCGATGTCAGAGCCAGGAAAAATGTCTTATCCCAGACGTCACAAGCAAATACTGCCCCGAGAGGCCTGGGCTTTCAAGGGCCTGTGAGCTCTGACCTCTGCAGGATGGGTCCTGGTTCCAGACAAGACGGCAACCCTTTTCTGAGGGCCTCTTTGTGTTGGAGCTTGGGTTAGGAAGGGGGTTGAGGGGGCTTCCAGTCTTGTGCCCTGACCCTGAGGAACCCTGGCCACAGCTGGGAGACGGTCATTGTAGTGGGCTGAACGGGGGCCCCCAAAAGCTACAGCCACATCGAATCCCTGGAACCTGTGACCATGAGTTTATTTGGAAAAAGGATCTTGTGCAGCTGTCATTAACTGAAGGATCTTGAGATGAGCTCATGCTGGACCCTAAACCAATGACAAGCGTCCTGATAAGGATCAGAAGAGAGACACAGACACACAGGGAAGAGGGCCCTGTGAAGACGGAGCAGAGAGTGGGGTGATGTGGCCATAGCCCAGGAACACCTGCAACCACTTGAAGCTGGAAGACACGAAGAAGGATCCTCCCTGAGAAACTTCAGAGGGAGGGCAGCCCTGCCAACGCCTTGGTTTTGGACCTCTGACCTCCAGACTGTGAGAGAACAAATGTCTGTTGTTTTAAGCACCGCCCCCCCGCCACCAGTTCGTGATGCTTTTGTTACGTCAGCCCCCAGGAAGTGAGCACAGCCATGACGGGGGCGGTTATGTGACGTGGGCACATCAATGCCGGAAGCCAGTACTCAGCTGATCACACCCTCCCCAGAGAAACGCGGCCTGTTACTACCTCTTCTGGGATGGGAGGGTCCGTGTTATTTACTGCTGAGTGTTTTCACGGAGACCAGTCGGGATATAAACGAGCGCTTTCCAAATAAAGCAAGCCATCACTGGGCAAATCAACAAAGTGTCTGCCCCCAGGACATCAGGGGAGGCATCTAGACTCAGCACCGAGCAGGCCAGATGCCCGCCCCCTGGGGATGCCTCAGGTGAGCCAGAGCCAGAGTGATATCACCATGAGTGAGAGAAGGGGCTGCGGTCCTCCTGCCCCTGGGGCTGTCCCCCAGAAGGACCATCCCCTAATCCTCGTCTGTGGAGGTGAGGGCCAGACCCCTGGTCTCCAACCCAGAGAGAAGCATCCTAGCAGAAGACACAGGCAAAGGGGGATTGAGCTTATAGCAATCGGCAGATGGGAAGATTTTCCAGAATTCTCCATGGGGCCCACTGCAATCTCTAGGGTCCTCACATGTGGAAGGAAGGGCAGAAAAACACACAGAATCGTGGAAGAATGGCCAGGGAGATGCTGTACCGCTGGCTTTGAAGAAGCAGGAGGGGCCACAAACCAAGCACCCCAGCACCTCTAGACACGGGGAAAGACAAGGACACGCGTCTCCCCCGGAGACTCCAGTTGCTTTCAGCCCGATGGGACCCGTGTTGGACTTCCGGCCTCCAGAGCTATAGCATGATCAATGTGTGTAGTTTAAGCCCCTCTGTCTGTTACCTGTTGTAGCAGCCACAGGAGGCTCATACACAGTTCACTGAGCGTCCGGACCTCTGGGATCCGCCCTGGCCCGCTCCCCGCCTGTCAGACACTTGGCATTGAGGCTTAGGAAAGCACCAACCTCCTGGAGTCTGAGAATTTAATGACGTGGCACATCAGTTCCCTTGCCCACCACGTAGAAGGCACTTAACAACTGTGTATTATCACTCATCACCCTTGGCCATGGAACTTCAGGTAAATCCCACAACTCAGCCTCAGTTGCCTTGGCTTCATGCTATTTATAGAGCAGCAAAAGCTGCTTCGGGCACACGGGGGCTCCGAGGAACTCAGGCCACACCAGCGGGCCTCGGTTACTGGGTCCAAGTCTTCCGTGCCCAAGGAACCTGCCGAAAAAGTTCATTTCTGTGGAACCAGGAGGTTGAACAATTGGGAATTGCTGATATCTGACCCTTTCTTGTGCGCGAACTCAGTAACCGATTATGGGATGTGTGTGGTCACTGCCCTGGGCCCCTCAAGAAACCCTGAGAAAGGGGGCACAGGGAACTTCGACCCCCATCCAGGGCAGGCTGGGGCCGGCACGGACCCTGTCCTCACAGTCTGGCATCTGCGTGTGGCATCTGCGTGTGGGGCTGAGCTGAGGCAGTCCCCGGAGGAAAGCCCAGAGCGACTCCATGGGTCCAGGCCCTGTGGGTCCACTGGGAGGGAGGCGAGGGGCTAGGGCTCTGAATCAGGAGCTCCGGCTAAAGACAGCATGACCGAAATGCAGAGGCACCTCGGGGACCAGGGCTCTGCTCGCCGTCCAACAGCTGGGGTCTGAACCTGGGAGGACAGCTCAGTGTTGTGAAATGCACTCGGAATTTGGGGTCAGACAGTACCGGCTCCCAGTCAAAGCTCAGGCCAGCGTCTCTGGTCCCTTTTCCCCCGCAGACCCACTTGCCTCCAGGGTGTATAGTCAGCTTCAGCTCTGGGCTGTTCTTGGGGTGAAATGAGGCCGTGCACACAGAGCTCTTAGCAAGGGGCTGGGCAGGCTTTTGCCATCCTTCTTATACTTCTGTCCCAGGTCCGAGGGGTGAAAGGAGTCTTTCTGGCGAACCAAAAAGTCGACGGGAAGGTGGTGACGCTTATAACCTACAGCAAGGGCCGAGACTGGGATTACCTGAGGCCTCCCAGCACAGACATGAACGGGAAACCAACCAACTGCAAGCCCGTAAGTGCCCTGCTCACTTCATACACCTTCCCTGGGGTGGGCACTAGACGTTACCTCAGGACCCAGGGGTCAGAGATGCTGATGTCTGAGAAGGGCCATCTGGGAGATATGAACCACCTATTTCTCTGGGCATGGTGGAGAGGGCCACATGGAACTCCTTGCTTTATAGAAGAGTTAACTGGAAGTCAGAGAGGGGAGTGTATCAGTCAGCTCCTGCCACAACAGTGCTGTGTAACAAGCCGCCCCAAACAGCAATCACTCTTCTCGAGATCTGTGACAGGCTGGGCTCGTTCATGCACCTGGGAGTTGGTCGATTTAGGAAGGGATCTAGTGTCCTCCTTCTGGGACCAGCCCAGGCACATTCTCAGGCAACAGCGGAGGTGCAAGAGAGTGAGCAGAAACATTGCAAGAACACTGCAAGCCTGCTTGTGCATCTGTTAAGCCCTGTTGGCCAATGTCAAGGGCCAGGAAGTACACTCTGTGGAAGTGGGGGGCTGGATAAGTGAGGGGGAGCCAGGACACAGCCCAAATGCCATGAGCCCTAAGCCAGTCCAGCTATTCCAAGGGTGCCTTTCTACATGAATATGAGTATAGGCTGCCCCAGTGTCTTCACTGCCTTGGGGGTGGAGAGGGCTGGAATGCCCTTTTCTTCTTATTCAGTAAACTCCTACTGACACCTGAAAACCCTGTCTAGATGTCCCCTCCACTGAGAAGGCTTCACTGGGCACACTTACTTCTATTTCCCCCTGGCTTCGACCAGAAGCCCCTCACAGTCAAGGACCCCCATCCATTGCTGTGCCTCTGTAACTGAAAGAATAACAGTGCCTATTTCACAGGGACAGTCATGCAACAAACACATAAGGGGACCTACTATGTGCAAAGCACTGTTCTGGGTGTTGGGAATATATCAGCACACTAAACAGGAAATAATCCTGCCCTCCTGAGATCTGCCTGGATCTCTGCAGGGCCCCCTGAAGATGGTAGGCACCCTGCCTGGACAGCCACTGACCACCCGCCAGGGCCAGGGTGGGGCTCTGTGCTCTCCGGGCAGAGCCTCGGCCCGGGCAGTGTCAGTCCCTCGCTCCCTGACCTCACCGACTAGGGGCCTGCGCTCGGCCTCTACGCAAGCCCCCCTCCCGCTAATAACGGGATAATAACACCTGTCGACCACCGGGGAGAATTAATCACCTGCCCCTTGTAAAAGCTCTTCTGAGAAAAAAAATTGCTGTGAAAGGGCTAATTTTTGTATCATCATCGACAAAGTTAAGCCATATTAATCTGTCAAAGCAAGTTCTCGCTAAGAATAGATTCTTGTCTGCAATTATGCAGCTCAGCGAGGAGATAACCTTTCAAGATTTATGTCCTGGCCTTGAAATAATAAAAGTAGGGGTCGGCTGGTAAGTGCGTGGCTGCAGGCAGGCCCATCACGCTGTGTGTGCAGACCTGGCAGCAGCGGGTGGGGGGCATGCCAGGTGGGCAAGCGTGGCCCTTCTCCTGGGTTTCTTCTCTGTGTCCACTCAGCCACGCAGCCTCCAACTGCACAGGGCAAGCTACACTTGAGGGTTTATTTCTCATCAGAAATGTGATTCCTGCTTATTGCCAAATACTTGGAAAAAGCAGAAATGTATAAAAAGGGATATAAGTTACACCTGTAACCACGTCACCCAGAAGTAATGGTCATCGGGCATTTTTCTGGTCAATCCTTCGGCTTACAGTCACGTTAAAAAGTCCTCTTTGGGATCCTGACATGTGTGTGATTTCTGAGTCTTCCATTTTTCTCTTAACTCTGGGTCGTGAAGGTTTTCCCGGGCCATTTGACCAGCTCTCTGGCTGGGGAGATTTCCTCCCAGTGACAGGGAATAGATGAGTGTGGATCAGACCTGTTTTAGGGTGAAAAATGGCCCTTGGAAGATGGTTTTGCATCTGTTGACATCTGGACTCAGAAGGAAAACCCATTCGTGTTGCTGCCCGTGGTAACGCTTCTCAGCATCCGGGCTGAACCGAGCAGTGGGGTGTCCGGCAGGGGCGGCTGGCGGTGTGGCCCTCCAGCCCTCCGGCAGTCTTTGCCACATGCCTCTTGAGAGCACCAGCCGGCCCCTGCATGTAGAGGGGCCGAGAAGGGGGAGCCTTGGGACAGTGTGGGCCTCCCAGCTCGGTCCACGTCACATCCACCCAAGCGCTGCAGGTACCCGGGCCACCCCACCGGGACGAGGCATTCAGCACCGGCTCCCCGTGCACCAGCCTGTCCTTGAGGTCTTCCCACCCTTGGCCTGGGTGTCCTCAGGGGACCCTGCCGTGTCTGACTGTACACCCCAAGAGCAGCCTGGCACTCGATGCTTCCCGTCCGTCATGTGTGCAGGTGCCCAGTGCCCTGGGGGTCGGCCTCTCCAGCCCTGCCTGGCCTTCCACGCCCTTTATCAGCTCAGCTCAGTTGGCTGGGCCTTGCGTCCGCTTGTCAGATACCAGCAGAGCACCCGCTACAGCTCCAGGACCGGCTGGAAGACATCTGTGTGGCCCTCCATGGCGCCAAAGGGGACTGCAGCTCTGTCTGTGGGCCACTGCCGACCGCAGGGGACCCTGAGGAGTGTTCCACTTCTAGCTCCAACAGGCGACCAGCAGTCAGGACAGAGCAGCAGTGGGCTAGGGAGCGGGAGGGGCAGCCAGGTTCTATGAGCCACAGCCTCAGACTTCCTCTGTTCACTGCACGCAGAGACAGGGATATTGTGTGCGCAGCGCATCCGGGAATGTGGAAAAGGCTGGTTGCAGCCTGGGGAGACCAGCCCAGAAGGTTGGCCACTCCAGGCCCCGCCTGGCCCCCTGGGACCTCTGGGGCACCAGAGCGGGGCCATGCCTGGGCTGGACCTTCTCAGCCCGGGAGCGTGCCAGTGGGACACAGGAGGGCGGGCCACGTCCCTGCCGAGGGTCCTGTTCCTCCTGCCGTAGAGCTTCCTTCTGCAGGTAGAGACTGGCCCTGCTCAGAGAGGTCATGGGCACCCCTCCCCCTGGACACGCCCTCCCCGTTACTGCCTGGTCGTTGGATGGGTGAGGGGGCCGAAGGGTGTCACCACAAGTATTAGGTCACCAACCTGCTAGTCAGCTGTAAGAGACCAAGAGAAATCCAGAAGGGGGGACAGCTTAACCTTCCACAGTGGGTCAAGTTTGTCCCGTTCAATCCAGGTGTTCCTGGATGGGGACTCTCCTCCGGGGTGATTCCGTGACCAGGCTCCCCCCCGCCACGGGGCCCTGCCATCTTCAGCCTGGGGCTCCCCAGGCTGCCCCGGGGAGGGTCTCTAGCCCAACCAAGTCTGCTTCAGAAGGGGCCTCTTTCAGCTCATTTTGCCACCTCTTATTTTGTTTGTTTTTAGTAGCTTGACTGAGGTACCAATCACATCCCATACAATTCACCCATTTAAGTGTGCAATTCAGTGGTTTCTAGTATCTTCACAAGCTGTGCAACCACCACCGTAGTCCATTTTAGACCATTTTCATCACCTCAAAAGGAAACCCTGTACCCTTTAGTCACCACCCCCCATCTCCCATCCCACCCACTGCCCTGAGCAACCACTAATCCACTTTCTGTCTCTATAGATTTCCCTGCACTGGACATTTCCTGTCAGTGGAACCATACAGTATGTGATGCAACAAATACATTTTTTTAAAACTCTAGTACAGACAAATAGAGCCCATCGCACACTGGATCGGGCCCTGGTGGCATCTGACCCAGATCCATATCCAACGTACTGATCGGTTTCATTTTTAACTTCAGATAATCTGTATAAAACATACTCTGTTCACGGACCAGAAGAAAGTGTTAAAGAAACATAAACTGTAGAGAGAAAACATCTCTCGGATGGATTTCGGTAGACAGTAGAATATAGCAATGACAGTGGAGCTCTGCAATGACCCTGGAGGTGTGGGCGACAGGCAGCCCCGGCTAATGACTGGCGGGTCACTGCCCGGTGCCGTGTCCGGTGGCCTGGAGGGAGCTGTGCGGAGACCTTGGGCCTTGTCCCGTGCCCTTGTGGTCTATTGTGGATGTGACAGAGGGATTGTGGCCTTGAGTCACCGAGGCCAGGGGAGAGGAGACTCGGGAAGGTCAGTCCAGAGGACACATCATTTTCAGCTCGTCTGTTCCCTGGGGATCCCCCAGCCCCAGCCAGGGGAGCTGGCTGTGGCCTCTGCCATCTCAACAGAGGGTGGGGCTGCAGGCAGCTGGGGTGGAGACAGCTGAGGGGTGTGGCAGCACCGGGCAGGAAACAGCTGGTGCTTCCTCGTTCTGGGGGCTGCTGGCCCAGTTTGCCTGGAAGTACCAGACCGGCCACAGGGCTCAGAGCATGGACTTTGGAACCAGGCAGCCTCAGCTGTGGTCCCAGCCCCACCACTGCCCTGGCAAGTTGCTTAAGTGCACTCTGCCTCAGTTTCCCCATCAACGCAGAAGGAATGATAGCACAGATGTTGAGAGTGTTCGGTGACGCACACCTTGTAAAGTACTGGTGCTGGCCCAGAGGCAGCCGAACAGCAACGTGAGTTGCTGTTGGATGTCTTATTACAACCAGCGTCTCTGCCCCTCCAGCCAGGGCACCAGCCGGGGCTGCGTCAGGGCTGCACTGATGCTCGTGAGTAAACTGGGCTCTAGCGTGCCCACCTTACCCCCTGCCTCTCCCATAGGACGCAGGGCTTACAGGGTGTCCCGCAGCTGTTGCCCGATGCCCAGGCTACCGTGGTCACCTAAGAGGCCCCCAGTAAATGTTCTGGGCAGATGAATGAATGAATGAATGAATGAACGTGGGCATGGACCGTGCAGTCTCCCTCCCGGAGTCCCGTTCTGCAGCCCAGCTCTGCACTCAGGAGCCACGTTGGGGAGCCCACCCTCCAGCACCCAGGCTGGGAGAACCCTCCACTGGAGAAGCCCACCTGGCCATCAGCTTCCAAGCCTCCTTCCTGCCCTCCCCCGACCCCTCCGAAGCACTCCTGACCCTACCTTCACAGCCGAAAAGCCGCAGGGCCGGATTCAGCCTCAGCCTTACTTTCTCTCAGGTCACTTCTCCCTCCCAAGTGCTGACCGTGGCTCCCTCTCTCCCCCCGCAGCCGGACTGCCACCTGCACCTGCACCTGCGCTGGGCCGACAACCCCTACGTGTCAGGCACTGTGCACACCAAGGACACCGCCCCCGGCCTCATCATGGGCGCAGGTAAGAGGTGGCCATTACGGTCAGGAGCCATCACTACCTGCAGGACGCTCCAGTTTCAAGGGTAGAACTTGATGGTCACGGGCCTGGGGCCATGGTGTATCCACTGGGGGCAGTGCCACAGTACCTCCAGGAAGCCAGCCCACCTGGCACATCACCCTGAGGGGTGATTGCATAGCCCAGAGTGGGCACCTGATATGCATTGACTAAATGAAAGGTGGATGGATGATGGATGGAAGGATGGATGGATGGATGGATGGAAGGATGGATGGATGGGTGGATGGAAGGAAGGATGGATGGATGGATGGATGGATGGGTAGATGGCTGGGTGGGAGGATGGGTGAAAGGAAAATTGGATAGTTGAAAGAATGGATAGTCAGATGGCCCAATGGAAGAATGGATAACAAAATGGCGAATGAATACATAGAAGGATGGATGGGTGGGTGGATGGATAGATGGACGGGAGGACAATTTGCATCATGGTTGACTTTTATTGGTCCCTAAAGAAGGTTCTAGTTTAGTGGGGAGAGAGAGACACATATACAACTAACATAAGGGGGGAAAAAAGAAGTATACACTGTGATTGTGTCTGTCTACCCCATTAAACTAGAACCTTCTTCAGGTATCACTAAATGTATGCTGATCTAAGAAAACTCTAAAATAAGGTTTATGTGAGTTAGAAGAATCATTCCAAATAAAATCACATGTTTTACAAGTCCATTGCCAGCTAGCGGCTGGCGTCTGGTTTTCCTTTTACCCATCAGCGTGGGGATAGCCTCACCAGCTCTCAGCGGCTAAGGCCGGGGAAGTGTCCCTGATGCCATGGAGACAAAGGCGGGGAGGACAGGACTGTGTGCGTCGTGTCCACAGTCGCTACAGTGGCCCTTTCTCCCCGGCCAGGCCCTGAACTCTTCTAATCACCATGACAACCCTGAGAGGTCAGTACCCCTACTTTATGGAGCCCAAGGAGAGGGAAGACTTGCCCGCAACTTGCAAGGTGCCATCAGGAAGCTTGAGACCCACCCCAGGCTCCTCAGGGAAGGGCAGCCCCAGCCCCAGGAAGGACTGCTGTGCCCCTTGGACCTGCAGTAGGCAAGGCTCTGGGGCGGGCCCATCAAGCCCGCCACTCATCCGGGCTGTGGAACGGCCAGGCTGAGGCTCTGCACAGCCAGGGTGCAGATGGGGCAAGTGGCAGTCGGAGAGACAGTGTCTCTGCCCATCACACGGCGGGGACCACCAAGGCCTGGGCCGGGGCTCACAGCTTCCTGAATCAGGGGCTCCCTCCCTCTGTCTACTCCAGCACCATCTGCGACCCGGAGGATTTGCGCCCCAGACCCTGAGCTGGATGCCGCATCCGCCCCTTCAGCAGACGTATCCCAGCACTGAGGCCCGGGCCTGGCTGTGTGTGAGAGCGTGAATGAATGAATGAATGAATGAGTGTATGAATAAATGAGTGGCCATGCTGAGATGGCAGGAATGGCCTTCCAGGCAGAGGCGGGAACGTGTTTTTCAGAACGACCGAATCAGAGCCCATGAAGGGGTCGGGAGGTGAGATCCCCTGTCCGCTCTGTGGGTCTCTGATGGCGGGAGACCTTGGCTATCCGAGGGGCATCTCCCGTTATCCTGGAGAGGGTGGCTTTCCAGTAGGGGAGCGAGCGACACAACCAGACAGAGAAGACTGCAAGTAAAGCCTTTCATCATCTGAGCGTCCTTCTGTTCATCTACGGCCCCGGGGGGTCTTAGTCAATGACTGCGATTGGGGCGGGGTCTGCCCGCTTCAATGACGGACGTGCGTCAATCAGTGAAAAATCACTCATCAGCCTCGATTTCAGTGCAGCTCATGGGGCTCCAGGTCCCATGCAGGGACGGGCTGGGTCGCCCATGTCAGACACCCCCTGTCTTGTGGACTCTGTTCCCTGGACCTGAAGGCGATGGTGTATTTTTTTTTTTAGCATCTTTACTGGAGTATAATTGCTTTACAATGGTGTGTTAGTTTCTGCTTTATAACAAAGTGAATCAGCTAAACATATACATATATTCCCATATCCCCTCCCTCTTGCGTCTCCCTGCCACTCTCCCTATCCTACCTGGCATGGACATATATACACTACCAAATGTAAAATAGATAGCTAGTGGGAAGCGGCCGCATCGCACAGGGAGATCAGCTCAATGGTGTATTTAAAATGCATGTTCGTGATGGGTTGAAACCCCAAATTCTTGACCAAAGTACAAAAGACGGAATTTCAAATGTTTCCACCGCTCAAAGGTCTTGAAAGCTCTGGACGACCATTCCAGCCCCCCAGGGATGCTGTGAGGATCTGCAGGAGGTTCACTTCATTGTATGCGAGTCACACGGAGAACGGGGAGCGGAGGGGGTGACCTGGCAGCCTCCCTCCCTCTCACTGTCCCCCCAAGGGCAGGATGCTACATTTATATTTCATTCTGCTGCTTTTTCATCCCGCCCTGGCTTTCCTGAGATGGATCCATCCGTGCAATGTGGGCCAATTGAGGTGTAAATGTTTTACATCCTCCGCTCCAGCCCTGAGCGTCTGCTGGGAACAGAGGGGAAGGTGGAATGAGCTGGGCTCCCTCGGGCACTCGGCCGCCGAGCGGCGACCAGTTTCCCACTGGTGGTCCCCACAGTGGGCTGGACGATGTGGCAGGAGCAATGGGGCCACGTGACGGCCTGTGCCTGGCTGAGCTTCCCGAGGCAGCCATGGGCGATGGCTGCCTGTTTCCAAGGAGTCTCTCTCCCGATCTCCCCGCCATCCATCCCTCATTCCACCCTGAGGCAGGCAGGTGGGAGTTACAAGCCCGAGGTCTACCACCTCCAGCTGCTGGGCCTTGGGCATTTACTGGACCCTCTGAGCCTCAGCTTCGTCACCTGCAAAACAGAGGATGAAACCTCCATCGTAAGGCTGATTTGGGGATCAGGTAGAAAGCATCAACACCAGGTGTGTTTCTACAGGTGGCCCTGTCATTTGAACAGTGGCTGGACACCACTGCCCTTCTACTGGGGACCTGCCCTCCGGTTCAGTGGACAGAGGCCAGACCCACAGATGGAGGTAGAAAATGGAGCCATGACTCCAATGAGAAAGGGAAAAGAATGGTTCAAGAAGCAAAGACCAGGGGCTTCCCTGGTGGCGCAGTGGTTGGGAGTCCGCCTGCCGATGCAGGGGACACGGGTTCGTGCCCCGGTCCGGGAAGATCCCACGTGCCGCGGAGCTGCTGGGCCCGTGAGCCATGGCCGCTGAGCCTGCGCGTCCGGAGCCTGTGCTCTGCAACGGGAGAGGCCACGACAGCGAGAGGCCCGCGTACCGCAAAAAAAAAAAAAGACCAGAACTCGAGCTTCTAACTGGCAGGGTCTAGAAACAGCCATAGTGAACCCAGAAATAAACCCAGCGGGCCAAGAGTGCCAGCTGGAATGTTCTTCCTGACTGGGCGTGTCAAGGGGATGCGTCCTGCAGAGGTAGCAAATCACAGACGGATGGCTGAGACAGAGGGCGCCGGGCCCAATTCTGACTTGGGCCTTTCCAAGCTCTTGCCCTGGGGCTCTACACCTCCCCGAGCCTCAGTTTCTTCATCTGTGAAATGAGGGTAATAATCTCGGACTTGGGGGCACTGAAAGGTCTGATGCAGGTGGAAGGCCCTCCCTGCCCCACTGCCCTGCGCCCGTCCTGGGCCACCACGCAGCACGCGCTGCTTCCAGCTCCTTGTCTGGACGTGAACCCTCAGGACCACACAGAACACAGGCTGCAAACGCTTCCCAGACGCCGGCTCTGACCGTCACGTGACTGAAAAAACCTTGAGGGGCCGGGACGGGGAGCTCAGAGCACCCCTGCCCGCTCTGTGCCAGGAAGACCCCTGGGGCTCCTGGGAGGAGCCCAGCCTGCCGGCCCTCCTGCAGAGTCCCTTCAATCCCATCAATCAACCTCATCGATCCCAGATGAGAGGCCGAGGGCAGGGAGGAGGTCAAGAGCCGACCCGAGGCCCATCAGCCAGGCGGGGTCATCCGGGCCCTAGAAGCCGGGGACTTGGCAGCACCCGGAGGACCAGAGGGGTGGTCCCCTTGCTCCTGTTCCAGCTGCTGCAGGGCTTGCTCCGCCACAGTGGGGGCCACGGTGAGGGGTCCAGGCCACCTTCCGCCTCTTGTGCTGTCGCTTTGCTCTGTCCTGGCCCTGAGGCCTGAGCCACTCTGCAACCTGAAGACCGAGGAAGCAGGGAGAGGAAATGCAGTAAGTGAGCGCTTACTGTATACCAGGCCCTGAGAGCACAGAAGCGGGGTGGAGGGGTCGGGGGGTCGGGGGAGGAGGCCCAAGGAGACCCCAGAACAGCCCGGAGGGGACGGAGAGGGAGGCCTTTCTTAGTTGCATCCCCAGGCCTCAGTTTCCCCTCCGTAAAGTGAGGGCACCAGCCCCCGTGTTCCTGCAGAGCCTCCCACTCTGGTGGCCTGTGGATGTGTTCTGTGAATTTCCCCTTAATTTTCCCCGGTGCCTGTTACGTGACCGGCAGCCTGACAGCCTTGGTAGACGGAACAAGGAAAACAGATTGCGTCACTCAAAAGACAGACATCGCACCCCTGAAATCACGGGCTGCAGTTTTGCCTGGGACGTTGAGCTGACGCCACGTCCTTTGCCACACGGCTTCTGTGTTTGACGCGCAGGTCCTGGCGTCCCTGCTGGCATCTGGAAGGATGGGGAGATAAAGGGCTCGCCTTCCTTCCTCTGCCCACGCCCAGCTGTTGCATTCATTCACTCATCTCCCTCTTTTCATTCAGCAACCTTTCCTCAGCACCTTTTGGTGGCCAGGCGGGTGGAAGGGAACCCAGCTCAGTACCTGGCCCTCTGCCCCACCTCACCTGACTGACCTCCCCTCCCACCTCCGTGCTGTCGCCAAGGCCGGTCCCTCTGCCTGGCACACCTGCCCCTTTCCCTTGGCCGGTGGCATTTGTCTTTTGAGGCACAGAGCAGAGGTCACTTCCTGCGGGAATCTCTCCTCATTTCCCCTCCTGCACGGGCCCGTTAGCTTTCCCTTCTCTGCTTTCACAGTTCCCTGGGCTCGCAGGCATCCTGGCTCTGTGCACAGTTGCAGGGCATCCTTCTTCCCCGGCTAGGTTGAGAGCTCCCTGGGAGCAGGCACATGGTTACTCAGCTTGGATTCCTCACAGCTCAGCACGAGGCTGAGCAGAGAGCAGCCACTCAGCAAACACTGATGACTGTGCGGCAGTGGGTGAGTGGGTGGAATTGATGAAAAAGAGACAGATGTGTGGATGGAGGAATGGCGGATGGACCGATGGATGGACGATAAATTAATGACGGGTGGATGGAGGGATGGTGGATGGATGGATGGATGGACGATAAATTAATGAAGGGTGGATGGAGGGATGGTGGATGGATCGATGGATGGACGATAAATTAATGACGGATGGATGGAGGGATGGTGGATGGATCGATGGACGATAAATTAATGAAGGATGGATGGATGGATGGAAGATTTGGTGGTTGGTTGGACCTCAAAAAAAGGGCAGGTACACAATCCCTCTGCCACTCTCCTTGAACTCACTTTGCCTCATCTTTTTGAGGATAAACCATCTCCTTTGGGATTTTCCAGTGACATCTAAACCTGGCTCTGGAGGAGAGACTCCTGACAGCAGCACATGAATAAGTCTCCATAGTGCCAGTGGTGCACAAGTTGCCCAGGTCAGGGGCTCCAGGAGAGAGTCCAGAATGGCTTCAGTGTTCTCGTAACAGGTCCCCTTCATCCCGGAAGCCCAGGCCCCTGGTCCCTGCCATCATCATGTGGGCACAGCGGAAGCCTGCCCAGTCTGACCCATCAGAAAATCCCATTGTCCAAGACCCTTCCCGGGAGGCTGTTTAGGGGCATCCAGCCCAGCTCAGAGAACACCGAGATTGTCCCGCAGCTGCGTCTTCTAGGTGGCCATCTGTAGGGGTCCACTTAGACTCAGTTTCCTACCTGTAAGCTGGAATCACCTTGGATGCTAAGTGGGGATTCTTCCCCCTCTGGCAGCAGCCCCAGGATTAAGTGCCCACCCCTCAGAGTGGCCTTCAAGGCTGGTGACCCACCTGCCAGGCTGGTATGGGTTCAAGTGAACCAGGACCCAGGAGGATCCTCCTGGCTGCCCAGCTGGCTTGGTGCCCACCTCACCATCCTCCCAAACATCCCCTCAACAGACATTTAATGAGCACCTACTTTGTGCTTACGCTGCCTCCCACCTGGACTGCCCCAGACTGCCCTGGACCTGCCTCTGGCCTCCCCCGCACCCGGCCCCCAGGGGGCCGCCAGACGCAAGCCCAGCCGTGTCTTGCCGCAGTTCCCGTCAGGGGCTGCCGTGTCCCCACACTGCCCACCTGGCCAGCATCCTCTCTAGCCTGTCCCCGACCCCCACTCCATGCTTTTTCTTCCTGAATCACACTCATCACCGTGGGTCCCCCTGAAGCCCCCAAGCTCTGCCTGCACCTGGGCTCAGCCGGAGCTGCCTGAGGCTGGCTTTCTCTGGGCAAAGTTAATCTTTTATTGCTCAGACTAGGACCCGTAGTGGTGACAGCAGGCCCGTCATTATACAAGGAGGGCAGAGAGGGGCATCCGCTGGTGGCTTTGGTGCTGGGAGGTGTAGACCCAGAGCACATCAAGCACCAACCTTGTTTGGGGACCTGGCTGCACTCAGACCTTGGTAAGGGGGAGAGTGGCCGATCCTAAGAGCAACCCTGCCACTTTGCTTCCGGACCAGGTAACCTGGGCTCCCAGCTTGTGGAATATAAAGAAGAAATGTACATCACATCAGACTGTGGGCACACCTGGAGGCAGGTAAGGTGGCAGGGAGGGGCCCGGAGCCCACCATGCTCACTCCGCCGAGGCTCCTGGGAGAGTCTGTTCTCTCATCCCTTCCCTCCCAGAGGAGTTCCGAGACACGCTTCTTCATCTTCCCCGGCCTGAGGGGCTGCACACGGCTCCCTTTAGCAGATGTTACATCACCATCTGTGAAAAGAGAGCCCAGGCCAGGCTGCCCACACCGCTGCTGTTCTTCCAGCAGCCACTGCTGGAGAATTCCAGATCTGACGCATCTTCCCACGGTCAGACAGGTTACCGTGAACATCGAAGCAATGGGGATCGATGCCAGGGACGGGCTGGAGGTGCTTTCCGGCAGGAAGCCACACGGGGACTCAGAAGCTTGGCTGAGCCCAAAGGCCAGGAGGTGGGGGCCCCGAGGACAAGCCCCGGGTTCCTGGCAGGGACAGCTGCTGAGTGGATGGCACAGACTTGGGAGAGAAAGAGAAAATGGGGAGGAGCAGTTTGGGGGGCCACGGCGAGTCTGGGTTGGGCCTCCTGGGACACATCCATGGGATGATGATTTGACGCTCAGTGTGGCCCGAGAAAAGGAAAAGCGGGAAAGGGAGAAGAAACAGGAGAAAGCAGTTATGCAGGGAATGGCCCCCAGCACTGGGGGTCACACTGTGAGGACCCCTCCCTGCTGCGCCCACATGCGGCTCAAATTCTCATACTGGAGGGCGGGATGCTGCCGGCCAGTGGGTGTCACGCAGAGCAGGGCGGGTGGGGAGCAAAGGCTGACGGTCCGGCGCCCTGTGCAGTCAGGCAGCCCAGGAGGCAAACCCACGCGCTCTGTCCCAGGAGAGGCCCCGTCGCCCTCTACCCTTGCTATTTCTTTCCAGCAAAAAAAAAGCCTCATCTGGTCTGCCAGCTTCATGGAGTGACGGTTTCTACTTTAAGAAAATGCACTAAATTTTCGTGTGCATCTCCTCTTTCGGTGGATGTAAGAAGCTCTGTTTTCAGGTCAATTTTTTGCACCCCTGAGTATCCCACTTAGAGCCCCCTGCCCAGGTACCACACTGGACAAATATGTTAACCCCCAAAGTGTGAAGCTCACCTGTACCCTGGGTTTAAAGCCCTGGCGTTTTTTAATAATATGCAAGAAACAAGGAATTTTGAAAAGGGCAAAAGAGATTTATTGTGTTATAATAGTCCTATTTCACTAAAACTAGTGAAACATGTCTAAACTTTCTTAAAGGTCACCACCTGTCCACTGATTAGAGAAACCGCCCCCCTGCTCCCAGCTTGTTAGACTTTACAGACCAGGTGAAACAGAAGAGAAAGGTATTCACGGTGGCCACTTTTGTCAAGCAATTTGCTTAGGCTTCAAACTTGGGAACTTGTCAGAATTAAATGGGAGAATGTCTGTTCAAGACTGAGCTGAGGTACCCATTTCTTCCCCAGTGATGGGGGCGGGGTGGGGGAATGGGGGGGCTCGGGTGCTTGGCAGAGGAGCGGGGGGTGCCCGTGTGTGTGCGTGCGTGTCAGAGGGAGGGCGATTACTGGTGGGGGGCAGTAGGCAGAGGCCAGGGTGGGACAAAGGCACGAAGGCCAGACGACCAGGTGAGCTCAGGCCGGTTTGTCAAGGAAGCGATGAGCTGTCTCTACAGGAAAACTCTTAGAATGTGAATTACAAATAACACTGTGCATGATGCCTAAGGGATGTATCATTTTATTTTATTTTATTTATTTTTTGGGGGGAGGATGTATCATTTTAAAAACATGACTTCCCTGGAATGATCAAAAAATAGTCAGAACACATTTAAGGAGCCCCCTCTAGAACTCAGGGTGTGGGAGAGAAAGGATTGGGGGACCCCTGCCTAGGTGATGGTCAAGGCACAGAAAACCATAGCAAAGGATGTGCAAAGACCCTGTGGTCCAGTGGTGGGTGTTGGAGCCCCCTTGTTCCTGAGTCCCAAGCAAACAAGAGTGGAGTTGCCTATGGGGGTCCCCTGGGATGGCTGGGAGGCACCCCATCTCCTCAGTGGATGGACAGGACAAACGCCCCCCTGCCTGTCCTTGCGGGAGGAGGGTGCAAAGCATGTGGGGTCTGAGCACAAGTGAGGGTTGTGCACACGTTCGGGGCGGCCCCGGAGCTAAATCCTGCTTGGGAGCAATCCCAGCACCCACTTCCGGCTTACCGTTCACTGTTCCACCCCTGCGGATCTCCCCAGGAAGGGAAGCGGGTTAGGCCCCCAGTGGAGTGGGGAGGAGGGCTCCCACCGGGCGGGTGGGCAGAGGCCTCTGCAAGTTCAAAGGCAGAGACGGATGTGCTTGCGGCATGCCATGTGCCTCTAGGACCACGTCACGGGACCCAGCGTGGTTTCCGCCACCCTGCCCGGCAGCCCGGAGGTCCCAGGAGGGATTCTAGCTTCTCCTTGAATAATCCCCGGGACAGAGAGCTCACTGTTTCCAGGAGGAGAAGACTGCCTGCTTGCTGCACCTCCCCCTCCGCGTTCCTCCCCCAGGAAGCTTCTAAAAGGGGAATCTGTTCTCCTCACTCCCCAAGCAAACCTCGGTGTCCCCCACCATCTACGGGAGGGAGGAAGTCCCTACCATCGGCTGACCCACGGGCCCTGCTGCCCGGCCCACCCATGGGCCTCTCCATCTGCCCGCAGTTCCAGCCCCAGCAAACAGCTCGTGCCCCACCCCCCACTTGGCCACACTGCTCTCTCTAACCTCCTCTGCACAAGCTGTTTCCCCGCCCGTAATGCCCTTGCCCCGCCCAATGTGCTGTGACCCCCCCCCACCCCCACCCCCGGGGTGCCCACTGGCTCAGGTCTCGAGTTTAACTGGAGCACATCATTCACCCCCAGAACACGGGCTGGGAGCTCTGTGCTGTGGCAGAACCTGGGCTGGGCAGAGAGGGTGGGTTCGATGGGCTGCTTGTTGGCATCTGAGTCACTGGGTGGAGGTGGTCTGTCTCCTTGCGGGGGCGGGGGGGGGGGGGGGGGGGCGGGTGTTTCCCTGGGTTATGAATTTCTGGGGCGTTAAGCTTTCATTTCTACCTCTGGCTCCCAGGACCCAGACAGAGGACCTGAAACACTGGGTGTGTCTGACGGGTGGAGAGACGGGGAGGGGAATTGTGCAAAGTTCTTCCCCACGGTACCTAAATCCGCACGACGTCACCTCCCTCATCCAGGAGGTGCTATCTGAGTTAACGTAGCCGCAGGCAGCACACTTATCCAGAGTGCCACCCAGAACACCTGCCAGAGCTTAGGACACCCAGGCCCAGGGACTCCTCTGACCCCGGCAGGCGCGGCCATGGAATCTGTGGTGAGGGAGATGCAGGGGTGGATCCGGGAGGCCCCAAGCTAGTGCTCTGGGCTCTCACCCCACCCTGCGACCTCGTCACTCACAGGACACAGATCCTCCTCCTGCTGAGAATGTCCTGCTCGTGGCGACAGCAGCTCCTGGTGGATGCGGCAGGCGGTCCATCAGAGACCCGGGGTCTCTACCCTAGTGCTGCCAGTTGCTAGCTATGTGGCTGCAGGCAAGTCGCTGTGTGTCTCTGAGCCTCTGGTCTCTCTTTGGAAAATGAGGAGGTGACCTCTGAGCGTGGTTGCTATTAAACAAGGCTCTGTACGCACAGCAGAGGCCCCCGTGCCAGTCACCCAGTTCTCCCCTCCCCCGCATCAGACATGTTTAAGGGCACAGTTCGCAGGTATACATGTCTCTTCCACCATTCTTCGTAAGGGACCTCTCCTCTTTAGTCAAGCCAGAAGGGTTTCCTAGAGAATTCCTGTGACCAGCGGGAAAGCCAGCAAGATGATGAGAAGGTGGAAATATCTGGGGAAGAGCTTTGCAGGCAGGGAACAGCATGTGCAAAGGGCCTGAGACGTGTTTAGGGAAAGGAGGCCAGGGTGACTGGTATACGGGAGGTGGGAGAGCGTGGGCAAGGGCCTCTCATACAGAGCCCCAATGACCAGGAAAGGGTGTGGATGTGATTCTAAGGGCCATGGGGGCCATTGGAAGGTTCTGGTGGGGTTAGGGGGTGTGGGGGTAATGGGATGTCAGGGCTGAGGGCTTGGCCTGGAGGCACCACCAGCTCTGCTGAAGTTCCCGTTCCTAAGAGGAGAGGCCTCTGCTTGGGGTCCTCCCCGAGTGCCTCCCGCTGGCTCTGGAAAAACAGACATTCAGACAAAGGAAGACTCGAGATAGAAGATCAGGGGGAAGATGCTAGTTAATAGTTGTGTGGGTGTGTGTGGGTTTTTTTTAATGATTTCCCCGTTCCTGGTCGCTCATTGCTCTAGAACAGGGTCCCCGGGGTGTGGGAGCTTTCGGGGCTCTTTCTGCCAGGGCAAGGGCAGATGCAGCCACGTTTGGGTCTACATCTGCTCGGAGATGCACTTACTCCAGCCTCGCTCGGCACCAAGCCCTGCAGCAGCTGCCCCCCCGGCCCAGGAAGGGCCCCAGAGCCACAGGCACAAAGGCCTAGCCAGGCCCCTGTGCGGAGCGGCTGACACCCGTGAGCGCGCAGGCCCCGGCGAGGGGCTGTGGGTGTGGGGTCCTGGCTCCATCCCGTCTCCCCCTGAGTTTCCCTGCACCCCTGCTACAGAACCCACAGGCCCTGAGACGGTCAGACAGGGTGGGCGGTGAATGGGGCCCTGGCCCACTGCAGGTGGTCGTGATGGGGCCACGTCCTGTAGACGAGGTACAGGGTTGCAGGCGACGTGGCAGAGGGCACTGGTGCCCTTCTCTGTGTGGAGTCAAGACACAGGCTGGCCGTCTAGGTATCTGTGTTCCTGGAAGATCTAGAGGGGGACGCCCGGTGTCCTGGCAGGACTAAAGAGCCACAGCCGGCTCTGCCACCCACCAGCTCTGAGGCCTTGGCTTGGCCCCCACAGCTCCAAGCGTCAGCTTGCTCATCTGTAAAATGGGACCCCATCCCAGGGCTGTTTGCAGACAAGCGAGGCCACCAGAGGTATTTCCTCCTGCAAGAGCCCTGTCCAGGCCACTCGACCTTTTGTCCCCTGAGGACTTGGTGAAGATTCACTCATTCACTCATTCATTCATTCATCCCACACACACTCCCTGAGCACAGGCAACCCCAGCTGTGAGCTGAGGCATGTGCCGGGCCACAGAAAGGATTCAGAGGCAGGACCGGCCCTTGAGGAGCTCCCTGGCTGGAGGAAACAATGACAAATTAGTGCAGTAAGTGCTGGGGCAGGGGGCCCAGAGATGCTCCCCACCCAACCTGGCATCAGAGAGGGCTTCCTGAAGGAGGTGGCACATGGAGTATCTTAATGTCAAATAGAGGTTTGCTTTTACTGGTGACGCGTATCCTAAATGCTTTTCTAAATTCCACTATTTCTCATCCTCACGTGTCGGCCTTTTTGGTGCATGAGTTTTTCCTTTAGGCAGGACCACCTGCAGTGTTTATTTTTCTCTCTTGTCAATGGTCTAGAAATCGCCATCTGCATCCATTCGTCCCACACGTACTGAGTCTGGGTGGTTGGGGGAGCATGGGGATGGCCTGGGGACTCTGGGAGCCCTCAGGCCAGCCCTGCCTCAGGGAACCGGACTCTGCTGCTGCCCCCCAGGCAGCGTGTCGGCAGTTCTGCCCCACTGGAGAGCGACCCCAGACCCCGAACAGCCTCCGACCCTCCTCAGGGTCCCACCCTCAGACCCCCACCTGCTGTCTTCTGCAGGTATTTCAGGAGGAGCATCACATCCTCTACCTGGACCACGGTGGCGTGATCGTGGCCATCAAGGACACCTCCATCCCCTTGAAAATCCTCAAGTAAGGCCATCGGGAGCCAGCACTGGGTGCAGGGTGGTAGGGGCTCTTTCTCCCCACCTGGGAACCCCTCAGAATAGTCCCCAGTCCCCCCACCCAACAGCTGCTTCTGGCCAGGCCTGGAGAGGTGAGGAAATGGGGAATGATGACCCAGCATGGTCGGGTGGGCCAGAGGGAAGCCTGGGGCTGTGAGGAGGCCCCCACCCACCTCATCCTTGGGAAGCAGGGAGGGCTTCTCAGAGGAGGTGACTTTTATGCATGGACAGGAATTAGCTCAGTGGAGGGGGTGGGGTCAGAGAAGGAAGCCAGCAGCGTGTGCCCAGGTGAGAGTGGGGTTGGCATCAGCTTCAGACAGGCGAAGGTTTATTGTGGGGAAGTGAGGGCAGATACGAACTCTGGACTTGGAAGGCAGAGCTGGGGGAGCTGCCAGAAAGCCAATATCACTTTAGTCTGAAAAAGATCTTTCTGCACTGCAGCTGGCTGTACTGATATGCCTCACTGAGAGACAGTAAGCTCCCATCAATGACCTGGCAAACCCTGGGCTGGCCTCGGGCATTGGGTGGGGCTGACCTGGATGTTTCCAAGGCCTGGATAACTGCAATTCAAGGGGTACAAAGCAGCTTGGGACCCAGACCACACACCCAGGACTCCTTGACTGTGGTGTCACCAAGCAGATGTGAATGCCATCTGCTGGTGGTGGGTGGCTGCTGTGACCTCCCAGGAGAGCGTGAGGTCAGGGATCCTCTTGTGGCCGAGACACTGGACTGGCCCTGGGGTTGGCCACTGCTCTTGCCTGTTTTCCCAGCCGCCTCAGCTGGACAACTCTGGTCCCTGGGCATGGGCAGGGCTGGGTCCAGCGAGGCAGCTCATCCTGGACACAGGATGTGTTCCCACCTGCCCCGAGGTGGTGACTCCCCTTCTCTCGGCAGGTTCAGTGTGGACGAGGGCCTCACCTGGAGCATGCACAATTTCACCAGCACCTCCGTGTTTGTGGATGGGCTGCTGAGTGAGCCGGGGGACGAGACGCTGGTCATGACGTGAGTGCCCACGGGAGGTGGGCAGGCAGGTCAGAGCCGAACCCCAGGCGGGCCGTGGCGGAGGGCCACCGTGGGCCTTGCTGCCCTAGGCAGGTTCAACACTGACCCCCAGCCTCCTCGCTTTGACCTCCATCTTCACACCTGCTTCCTTATCTCTTACCGTCTACTGTTTCCTCTCATCCTCAGCCACTGGGAAGTGGCCACTCTGTCCTTAGTCAGGGACATTTGTCACCTGCCCACGATCACCTGCTGGTGAGGGGTGGAACCAAGAGTCAAGGGTCAGCTCTGGGTCACTGTCCACTTAACCTTTCAGATGGTGGTGATGGTGGTGGTGGTGATGGTGGTGGTCATGAAGGTGATGCTGTGGTGAGGGTGATCATGGTAGTGTTGATTATTGGCTATTGGCACCTGTGAAGAACTTGTAGGCACATGGCACAGAGAGGACCTAAGACCCAAATGGGCCAGCGAAGGGCAGATCCAGGCTGCGACCCCAGCCCCTTGACCCTGGCTTAGGTCAAGCGCATCCCTGTTCAGAGTGGCTCACAGCCCAGGAGCAGAGCCTGAGCAGGCGGGGATTGAAAAAGGCACCCAGGGCTTGACTGTGCCCTGTGGCCCCGCTGGGGAGACAAGGCGCCGATGCTGTGCATGCCTGGCTGCACTGGGTGCAGGGGATCGGGCCCTGTGCACTCTGCTTGGCTTTTATTGATGACGCCTGTGCTGGGGAGAGCAGTGTCCCCCCAAATCCACGTCCACCCAGAACCTGTGGATGTGACCTCCCTTGGGAACAGGGCCTTTGCTGACGTGCTTAGTTGAGATGAGGTCACACAGGTGGAAGGTGGGCCCTAATCCAATGATTCGTGTCTTATACGAAGAGGGTTAGGGTTAGATACACAGCCACACCATCATGTGAAGACGTGGCAGAGGCCAGCGTGATGCGACCACAGCCCAGGCACGCCTGGAGCCCCAGGAGCTGGAAGAGGCAGGAAGGACCCTCCACTGGGGCCTGCAGAGGAAGCCCGCTCTGTGAACACCCACATCGCAGGTTTCTGGCCTCCAGAACGGTGAAGAGATACGTTTCCATTGTTTGAAGCACGAGTTTGTGGACATGAGTTAAGATGGCCCCAGGAAGCCACCCAAGGCCCCATGACTCTTCCCCTCATGACAGCCCAATGTAGGCCAGGGCCACTGACGCTGGGAGGGGACCCGGCACTTTGGACACCTCGGTCTCTGGTTGGCCTCCCAAGTCACTTCCTCTCTCCCCCCAGCAGACTTTGAGGAAGCTTCCAGGGGGCAGGGCTGGGTCTGAGTCCCCAGCCAAGTAAGTCTCCTGCTGTAGCAGTAGGGAGTGAAAACAAGTAAGAGGTTCCCTTGCTCGCTCCCCGAGGACGGCGGGCGGAGGGAGGTGGCGAGCTGCTTCTTTATATGGGGTGAGGGTAGAGGTGTGTCCTGGGGTCAGCTGGAGGGGTGGCTTAGGAGGTTTGCCCACCCCTTAGGTGGGGTTGAGTGCAGGGGGCGTGCTCAGTACCCTGCTTTTGCTCCCGGCTCTTCAGAAGTGGCAGTTGGGTTTTTGGTCTTTTTGTATCTTGTTGTCCATAATTTGCCCCAACTGGGCATACACACAGTTATTTTTAGTCCCTTATAGTTTCTTTGTATTTTGTGGCTCAAGGAGACGATTGTCCAGGTGCCAGCACTGCAGCAAAGGGTCCCAGGTCCCAGCCTATCTCAAGGCCAGCCCTTCTCCGGTCATTCCAGCCTGGCCTGCCATGTGCCACCCTCTGTCTGGGCACCAGGGACCCCAAGGACCCACAGAGCTGGTGGCCCAGGCAGACAGATCAAATATAACCAAGAGTGACATGGTTCCTCGATAACGTGAAAGATGCTGATACAACAGGGCCAGCCAGCCGAGGGGCTGGGGGCTGAAGGGTCGCTTTTGGGGTGGGTGGTGATCAAGGAGTCTCGGAGCAGCTGACCTTTGAACCAGGACTGGGCCAGTGAGACCCAGGCCCAAGGACGAGCTGTGGGTACAGAAGGATTGATGCTTTTCCACGTGAGAATTTGAACTGTGCCCCAGCTCTGGCTCAGCCCTTCTGGAACAGACGGGCCGGTTCCGTCCATTCCCAGCAGAGTGGCCGGGTGCTAGGACCCCTCACCCGGCCCGCTCGGCCTGGAGAGCGTGTCCAGGTATATGTGCCCAGCTGGAGTCATTGCCTGGGAGTGAGTCCCTGGTGAGAGAACAACTCATGCCCTCCTGTCTGCCCTTCCAACTCACGATGGCTTTCACACCCCTGCCCCGGCCGGCTCCCCATCGCCTGTGAGGATCCAGGTCTTCACCCTTCTGAATGCCCCAGAGGGGCCACTCGGATAAGCCCCCAGGGGTGCCTGGCCCCCAGCCCGAGGCCTGAACTGAAAGGAAACCGCCCAGAGTGGACATTACCCCTCCAGGCCCGCCTCTGCCCTGGGGCTCCTGTGGATGCTCATGTGAATGCCCCCTCGCCAGGCTCCTCTGGCTGCCTGGGACGGAGGATGGGAGTACAGCTCTGGTAAGCCCCCCACTGCGGGCCACCAGGGACCACGGCCGCCTGTGTGCCTACCGCCCAGGCTTCTGGGAACGGAAGATGGAGCAAAGGGACGTGGAAACGGTAGTGCGGACTCCTTTCTCAGGACGTCTGAGACAGGAGAGCCATCTAAGTTCCTGCCAGACCTAAAGCCGGCTTCAGTGACCCCTCCAGGGGGCCTCCCCTGCCACCAGGACTGAGGAAGCCTGGCATCCTCCCTACATCTTTCCCAGTATGGCCTCTTGCAGCAAGTTCTGTAATGAAGCTTTATTGAGCACATACTATATGTTATGGGTCCATTTTTTTTACGTTATCTCATTTTATTCTCATAGGAAATCTCCAGGGAGGATTTATTCCCCCTTCTTCTAGAAGTGCTAAAAATCTCAATAATTCTGCACTGAGGGAGTGGTGGCAAAGGGGGACCCCTCACATCAGTTCTGCATGGTTCCTGGAGAGCCAGAGCTGGAAGGGGGACCCCAGAGGCTGTCCTATAAAAACTGGGTCAGGAATCATCACCTTTCTAATTCCCTAAACGCCTCACTTGTGCTTCTCCCTGCACACCTAGTTCCTCTCCTCCCTGGCCCTAGAATGAGTTAAATCCTTCAGGACGTCACGTATTTATGCTCCCCTCGTGCTCTTGGAGGCTTCGTTCTGGCGTGGGCCGGGGAGGGAGGAAGACTCCAGCCTGGGCCGATGCAGGGCTCTCTGTGGTGTGGCGGCCGGGCTCAGCCTGGACCCTTTGCTGGTTGACCGGTTTTCCAGGACCGGAGGCCACGGAGCAGAAGGGAAGTGTCAGAAACACCAGGGGAGATGGCTGGCCCGTGCTGGTTTTGCAGAGGTTGAACAAGTCAGCTGGGTCTGAGACCTCAGCTTCCCCAGCTGAGAAATGGGCGCACTTTCTACCCCAGGGCATTAACCTAGGAGCTTCAGGACGTCAAGCCCTTTGTCACCGCATCAGTGCTGGGTTTGGCCCCAGAAACAGCCCGGTTTTCAGCACTCATCAACAGATGGGGTGTTTTATTCCTGGAACACTCTTGGCAGAATTCAGAGCCAGATGCTATAACCTCAAGTTTTTTTTGAAAAAGCGTCAGAACTGTGCCTACAGGCCTCCTACTTCACTGTGTCACATCATCAGACCACTTCCAAACTCCGGTTGACACACAAATAATTCAAACTCTGAAAGAGGGAACATGCTGGCGTGTTAGAATAAAGGTTCATCTCTCCAGACTGCTGGAAGCGCTCAGACCTAGCATCCTGTCTACTCCCACTCCTTCCCTTCCTGTCTCTCTCCTTCTCTCCCTCTCTCTGTGTCTCTCTGTCTCTCCCTCCCTTCCCCATCCTCTGTCTCTCTGCCTCTCTCTCTCTATCCCCCGCTGTCCTATTTCCTGCACAGTTGAGAGCATTTCCCCAGATGGTTCTTTATCCAAATCTACCCAAAGGTCACATCCAAGCTGACCGTAGTCACCTTTGGGGATGTTTCCCTCAGCTTGGATCACCCCTGCTCAGCCTCCCACCCCCACCAGTGCAGCCTCAGAGGGGTGAGGGCCCCCCAGGCCCTGGGGGGGATAGTGGGGCTCCCAGATCCTCCCCGGGCTGCACTAGGGGAGGGGAGTGAGCTCTTTGAAGGGCGTGGGGCTCCTCTTTAACCTGCAGAGGCCGGCCCACATTTTCCTTATTAATCGTGAAGCAATAAGTAGCCTCCCTCTGGCGTCTCCTTCCTAAAACTCAGAGTCAGCCGGATGACAGATACTTCTTGAAGTATCAGCTGAGCTTCTGGGTTTCATAGAAGGCAGGACTTCAAAGACACGGAGGGGATTAGTTAGATCAAGCAAGCCAGCCTCCTTTCAGGGACTTCCCCGGCGGGGCTTGTGCCGCCAGCCTGGGAGGCTGCGCGGTGGTCACGCTCGGGCCAGTGTGTGTTTCCTGGGCAAAGCATCCCAGCCCTGTGGTCGCCAACCCGGGGACTGACCCTGGCTGCCCCGGGAGGTGGGCGGCTGCCGTGCCATCCCCAGGGGGTCCCTTGCCTCAGTCTCCTTGTCCGTAAGGTGGGAATGTTAACAGTACGTTCCGCACAGGGTTGGTGAGGAGGGGATGGGAGGTCGCACGCGTAGCAGGTACAGAGTACAGGCCAGTAGTTACTGCTGCTGTCACCTCCATTATAACGTGGCTTCCAAAAGAGCAAGAGACGCAGCTCAGGCTGTGTGAGGACCTGGAAATTGTCCCTTAGAGACGTCCTTTCAGGGACCGAAGACCCTCTCGTTCTCAATAACCAACCCAGCAGGCTTTGCTTGGGAGAAGGGGACACTGTGACAAAGAAGATCCCCACGTGGTGACGCTCCCAGGGAGAGGGCTGTCCGCGTCAGGATGGGAGTCGGGACAGAGGACCAGCACGACACCTTCACACCTTCACGGCCACGGTCGCCACCATCCGGGCCTCCTACGACCTCGCCATTGGAAACAGCACCTGCGGGAGCCGCTGGGCCGGGCGGAGGAGAAGCGGGCCGTCCGGTCCTTGCTGGGCCACATCCACCAGCATCAGGAGAGGCCCCGGGCTGGGAAACAGCGGCGGGGGCTCCGACTTCCACCTCGGGCAGGATGGATTATTCACAACCAAACACGAGCGGGCGAGAGGCCAGGGCTGCCGGCGGTCGGGGAGCCCAGGACGGGAGGACGGAGAGGCGGACCACAGAGGCAGGTGAAGGCCGAGACAGAGGGAGGCTCTGGGGCCGCTCGGATCAGAGGAGGCCCCTGCAGAGGCTCGGGGTCTTGTCTGTAAAATAAAGATCATGGTATCTGCTTCGGGGGACTGTTCTGGGCAGTAGAGGTAATGTGTGTGCACGTGAGAATGTGTGAGCATGTGCGTGCACACGGTGTATGTGCACAAGTGAGCGTGCGTTGTGTATACGTGTGTATAAATCTACTAAGTGCCAAGCATCCTACACAAACCATTGCTAATCCACCATCAATCCTGAAAGGCCAGTGTTATTGTCCCCATTTTAGAGCCAAGGAAACTGAGGTGCAGAGAGGAATGGACCTGCCCAAAGTCACAGACATAGTAAATGGGTATCAGCCCAGGCCTACCTGGCTCAGAGGTGCCCTATGGAGTCAAAACTCCTCTTCAAGTATCAGCCTCAGACATTCAGAGCCAGCCATCATATCCCCCAGAACACACTCCAAGGGCCTTCTCAACTACCCTCCTAGAACGGGGTTTGCACCCTTTCAGACCATCACTGGCTTCCCCCAAGTATCCGGCTCCTGTCGGTGTGCGTGGAAGGGGTGCTTCACCTCCTCCATGCTTGACCTCTGATAATATGGCCTGGGTACTATAGGGTGGACTGGAGAAGGACCAGAGAAGTACAGGCTGGTCTCCTCTTCTGTGGTGGTATCTGGAGCCCAAGTGTGAGGTGTTGGGAGGATCAGGTGGAAATCCCTTAAGCAGCAGCCTTCCCAGAGGGCGAGGGATCTGGGTACATGTAGGCACTCCACCAATGCCTGCTGAGGGAGAAGAAATGGCACAAACAAGCTGTGTGACCTTGAGCAAGTTAGTCAACCTCTCTGTGCCTCAGTTTTCCTTTCTGTAGAGTGGGCTATGGTGAGGTAGACCAGATAGCATACACGGGGCTCCCAGCACACTGCCTGTGCTCCGTAGAGGACTGGCTTTTGCAGAGCCCCATGGTGCTCTGTCCACTGCTTCTTCCACCCACCGAGGCTGGGGCCACGCAGCAAGGACCACACTGAGATCCTTTCCACCCCGTCGCTCTGAGCCGGTGTGATGACTCGTTACTTCTCTTTGGACTGTCGGCTCTGCTTGGGGTGAAAAGGCTGTGGCCCAGCTGGGCGGAGCTGGCTGGCTACAGCGCAGGCCTCCTGGAGTGGTCAGGTGGGAAGAAAGGCGAGGAGAAGCCAGAGAGCACAGGACGCAGACACCTGACCATGAATCATTCTGCAAAACAATTCTGCAAGGACTAGCGTGGGGGATGTGGGAGGGTCCAGGCTCCTGGCCGGCTTCCTCGTCCACCGGGGGGCCAGGTGGGATGACCCCCACCAACACCATCAACGAGCCATAGATTACATGTGATGACTGTGGGAATACTAACGCCGACGCCCAAATTCTCGTGGCCAGCCGGGCCCAGGGCAGGTGCCTGGTCCCAGGGCAGCCCAGTGGGGGCAGGGGAGGGACCGCAGGGCCCGCTGTGCAGGTGGGAACAGAGGCCCGCAGGGGAAGCGGTGGGCACCCGGGGGACGGGCCAGACTAAGGTGGTTTCCCGCCGCTCCCTCTCCCCCCTCCCCAGCGTCTTCGGCCACATCAGCTTCCGCTCAGACTGGGAGCTGGTCAAGGTGGACTTCCGGCCCTGGTTCTCCAGGCAGTGCGGCGAGGAAGACTACAGCTCCTGGAACCTCACCAACCTGCAGGTGGGCCTGGCCGCAGGCCAGGGGTGGGCACCATGCAGGGCCCCGTCTGCCAAATTCCCTGTCCTGCGGGACCGAGGGCCTCCCTCAGATGCCCAGTCCTTCTTCGCGGTGTTCCGACCCCCTTTGGGGCCTGGGGCTGCCTGGGCCAGAGTCTGCAGTCATACTCAGGGGAACAGGTGCACAGGGCCCCAGCCAGCCTGGAGACAGGCGTGCTCGGGGTCCAGGAGTTTTCAGATCGAGGGAAGGTAACAGGGCACATGTATCATATATTAGGTAACACCCCAGTGGGTCTGGGGCAGCCCCACCCCATAATCTCAAACACATACATGTTTCTACAGCAAAATGTGTCATATTCACACAGAGAGGAATAAATGAGGACTCGAAATGGCCTCCCAGTGCAGTTCAGAGCAGGTGGTGTGGCCACAAGACAGGATTTCAGAGCGAGGGGGGCTCTGGAATTGCTGGGGGGACCCTGCACCACGGCTCCCATTCACACAGGTGTGGCCTCTTCTGATCATTGGCTGAGGACCTACTGTGTGTCCTGGAGGCTGTGGCTCACCCCAGCTGCACAGGGCCCACCTGGCACCCTCAGGCCTGAGGAGTGAATGCAAGGGGCCTCTTCCAGCAGCCCTGCCACCCCTCAGGGCCCAGACGGAGCCTGTACACAGTGGGAGCTCAGTGAATGCCAGGGCAGGTGGGATGGGAGCCAGGCTGCCCTAGGTTGGCCTCAGACATGCACACCCCTCCCCCGGTATCCGGTTTCCCGGCCCGGCTGGCCGGCGAGTGAGGAACCGGCAGCAGTAGCGGTGGGAGCCCATGCAGAGTGGCCCCTCACCCTGGCCTTCCTGCACAGGGCGACCGCTGCGTCCTGGGCCAGCAGAGGAGTTTCCGGAGGAGGAAGCCTACGTCCTGGTGCATCAAGGGTCGGAGCTTCACGGCGGCGCTCACGGCCCGCGTGTGCCAGTGCCGTGACTCAGACTTTCTCTGGTGAGGGTCCCGCTCTGCCCCGGGCCCCTGGGGCTGCCTGAGTAGCCTGGTGACCCGGCAGCCGCTGTCCCCGCAGGTGATGCCGGGGGAGGGCTCAAGAGTCACCCTCCATCACTTCCCCCCTACTCTGTGCCTTAGGACCCAGCCACTGGGTCCAGCCCGCATGACAGAACTCGTGGGCCTCGTTTCAAAACCAGTGCACGTGGCACTGCTCACAGGTGGGTGGGGAAACTGAGGAACAGGGAGGGCATCCTGGGGGCCGGGTGTACCACCCAGCCCCTTCTCCTCTGTCCAGAGACTCTGCCGAAAGGCCCCTGACCACTCCCCTGCCTCTGCTCAAGGACTCCCGTGGCCGCCTGCTGCCCACAGGAGGATGTCCGAGTTCTGAAACCTGCCTCCCTCCCCAGCCAACCTCACCCCTCTCCGTCAGCCACCTTCACCACTGTCTCCCTGCACCAGTGTTGAAGGGGTTGGTCCCTGCCTGCAGTGCCCTTCCCCCACTCTTCCCCTGACTGCCTCTTGATCTTCCATTGAGATTCAGCCCACCTCCTCCAGGCAGCCCTCCAGGACAACCAGGCTGGGCTCAGTGCTCTCCTGTGATTTGCTGGAATCCCCTTTGCATCCCTTCTCACCTGGAACGTAACTGTCGGCCTTCAGTCCTGTCTTCCCTCTGGGACAGGGCCCTGTGGATCCCCTTCTGCGTCCTCAGCATGAGGCCCCTGACCCATGCTATCTCCTGACAGCCGTTTTTCCCTCCTCCCAGTGACTACGGATTTGAGCGCACCCCCTCCTCCGAGTCCGACGCCAACAAGTGCTTTGCCAACTTCTGGTTTAACCCCCTGTCCCCGCCTGACGACTGTGTCCTGGGCCAGACCTACACCAGCAGTCTCGGGTGAGTAGCGTGGGGCAGAACCAGGGTGACCCCTTGCTTTCCTGCCTGGTGCCCATGGCTCCCCACATGGAGTCAGGGAAAGAGAAGTCGGGCTGAATGCCCTGTGTGCCGGGGTTCCTGAGAGCCACCCCAGGCACTGAGCCCTCGGGGCTCTCCAATCAGAGCCTGTGTGGGTCAGCGTCAGGGAGAAGAGGTGCCTTGAGCTGGCTCCGAACAGAGAACAACAGGCAGAGAAGGTCCAAGGGCTTTGTAGCTCACACCTGCTGCAGAGGCTGAGCCCTTCCAGAGAAGTAACACTCCTGGCCTGGTCCTTCTGAGCCCCTGCAGTGCTGGGACCCTTCCGCATTTACCAACACTGAGTGAGGCAGGCCTGAGCTGGGCCAGAGGTGCTCACACTCCCTTTAGGTCTCAGCTTGAATGATGCCTCCTCCAGGAAGGCCTCCCTGACTCACCCTGGGCTTCCCCTGTGAAGGCACATATCCCAGTTATTGTCACACTCACCCAGTCGTTCCCCCCGACTGGACGGTAAGCTCCACGACACATAGCGGGTCCCTCAGTGTGTGGTGTGGTGGACACACGCTGTACGTGAGGGTTAAGTGCTCCACAGGTGTGAGCTGTTATGACACTTTTCCTCCACCAGAGGCTGACCACATTGCGTGTCAAGGATGAACATCATATAAAAATGTTAGGTGTGTAAAGGCTGTGAACCTGCCGCTCCAGAGGCCCTAAACAAGCTTTATCTAAAAGTCTCTGCTTCCCTTTGGGGAAGTTTTGAGAGCGAGTAAACTGCCTATGGACTTATTAGAAAATCCTCATTACTGCCCCTGGGGATGGGGAAGGGCAAACCCCGAGAAGAAAGAAGCTGAAGCAGAAAAGCAGGCTTGGACTTCAGCGGCATAAATCCCATCATCCATCCATCCATCCAGTCATCCAGTCATCTATCCGTTTATTCCTCCATCCATCCATCATCCATCCATCCAGTCATCCAGTCATCCAGTCATCTATCCGTTTATTCCTCCATCCATCCATCATCCATCCATCCGTCCACCCACCCATCCATCATCCCTCTATTTATTCTTCCCCTCACTCACCCATCATCCATCCATCCTCCCATCCCTCCAACCGTTCATCCATCAACCGTCTATCATCCCTCCCTCCCTCCCTCCCTCAGGGAGCCACAGGAGCTGCTCCAGGGCACCCACCAGGGCTTGGCAAGCAGGAACTCTCGTCTGAAACGGCAGAGCCAGGACCCATATCCAGGGCAGAGGGCTTCATTTCATACCACCTGCACACTCCGGGTGCCAAGGGGCCAATGGCTGGGTAGCTCATAGGGAGCGTGTTTTCTTCCAAACTAATCACATGCGTCTTTGCATGATAAACTCATTCAGCGGCAGCGCCGTGAGGGCAGGCGGGGCACCAGGCACAGGGGGTGGGCAGATCCAGCCGCTTTGGCAGTGATGTGAGTTTTGCAGACCCAGAATCCCGGTGTCGCCCGAGGGAGCATCACAAGTGGCAAGTCTGAAGATGCCACCCGAGCAGTGGTTTTCCCGTCGCCTCCTAAATGTTTACTAGAGCCCATCGGGCTCTGCCCACCAGCCCCTCCCCACTCTCATCCCACACCTGCTGCCCACTCTGGGCTTTGGCTCCCCCCCACCACCACCACAGGGCCTTTGCACATGCTGTTCCCGCTGCCCAGGTTGCTCTTCCCGCTCCTGTTCACCCTTCTGGTCTTAGCTGAAAGCCCCTTTCTCAGGGACCAGATTCCCAGGTGCTGCCCCTCCCCAGCACCTGTCCCAGTTGCGATGTTGCCTTGATGTGGGGGATGGTTTGGTGAGGGCTCGCTCCCTCACTAGACAGTCCTCTCTGCAGCGGCAGGGCTGTGAGTGATGACCTCGTGCTCCAGCACCTGGCACATAGTAGATGCTCAGTAAATTCGTGTTGTGTGAATGAGCTGGTGAATCAGGTGTCATCTGGTCCCACTCTCTTGACGTCATAGGGAGAGGAGACCCCTGGGAGCATGTTTGCTCACAGCCATGGGGCGCATCAGCGGTAAGGCCCGGCCCCTCCTGGGCACTCTGTCCTCCCAGGACCATATTTCCCAGCAAAGCCACAAAATTCCGACTGACTCCTTCAATCCTCCCCTCAGCAACAACAGCTGTTACCATTATTGTAAGAATACGAGCAGACCAAGGAAACGTCCAGTGACGGAAGCAGGTCCTGCCATTACTGGTCATTCCCTCCCCTGAGCCTCAGTTTTCCCATCTCCAAAATGGGGCAGAAACAGCAAACAGGTGGAGTCGGGAAAAGGGAGGGAGTTGAAGAATGGAGTTCGCCATGCCAAGAGTCACCTCTCGGCAAGCAGGTCCGGCGGGGCAGCAGCGCCCGCCCCACCCCCGCCTGTCTGACTCGCTGTCTGGCCGCAGGTACCGGAAGGTGGTGTCCAACGTGTGCGAGGGCGGCGTGGACCCGCAGCAGAGCCCGGCGCAGCTGCAGTGCCCCCTCCTGCCGCCGCGGGGCCTGCAGGTCAGCATCCTCGGCGAGGCGTTGGCCGTGCGGCCGGGGGAGGACGTGCTGTTCGTGGTACGGCAGGAACAGGTGAGGCGCCGCTTCAACCGGGCACACGGGGCGCCGGGCGGCGCTCTCTCCGCCTCCACGTCGGTTAGGGCAGCGTCTTTGGATCAGCGGTTTCCGAACTGCGGGAGGGGAGAGTGGGCCGGGGGCCCCTTCCCAGGGGCCCCTTCCCAGGTCCAGACCAGCACTGAAACAATGAAACATAAAAGTCGGAAGAGAGGGCAGAGGCAGGGAGGGAACGGAGCGGCGTGCAGCGAGCACAGGCCCAGGGGGGCGTGGCTTCAAACATCTCTGTGTCTGTGTGTTCACCGCGCGGTGACGTCAGATTTCTGCCTTCCTGTGGGCGCCGTAAAACTTTTTGAAACTCTCATTATACTTAGTTAATTTTGGAATCATAAGAAAAGCAGGAAGTTTTTTTAAAATGCTGTAAAAATAAATAAATGCGATGATGCAAACAAAAAACCCACCGTTACTTATAATCTCATAGCCGAAGACAAATTCCGTAATAGATGATAGATAGATGGATAGGTAAATGGAGAGACAGATATCGTTGATAAACAGATATAGATAGATGATAGATTGATTGATAGATAATGGATAGACATAGATACAAATACAGATGGATGGATATAGAAATATTTTGTGTCTGTATATATATATATATATATACACACATATATACATACACACAAATATATATATACACATACCTATATATAAATATATAAATTTCCTCCCCACCTCCTAGTCTTTCTTTTTTTTTCTTTAGTACAAGTGTTACATTTTTTTCTGATTTTAAAAACAGTATATACTCACTGTAGAACGCTGGAAAACCACATTAAAAACATAAGAATATATCACCAAGAATCCTGTTCTCCTTAGGTAGCCACTGTTAGTTTTTTAAATTTCCTTCTAGTCTATTTAAACTAATATGCAGCATGCTTATTTTTCTGATTATAGAAGTAACAAATGCTCATTGTAGAACATTCAAAAGCAGAAATTAGAAGAACGTGCAGGAAATTCAAAATGACAGAAAAGCACAAAGGGGACGTCAGAACCCTCTGTTCCCACCCCAGGGTCCCAGCCTCTCCCTGCGCACGGCTCTCTGGCGCATTTGGGTCTTCCGTTAACAAATATGTAGCGTGAAATGAGTGCGGCTTTGTAACTGTGTGTGCTTCGTTTAGAAGATGTCCTTCAAAATGTGCCCAGGTGGGGCAGGGTGATGCTGACAGAGGTCTTTGATGTTGGAAAGCGGGGGCTCTGGTCCAGAGCAAAGAGCTGTACTCGTGGGCACCCATGTGTCATCCCTCCCCATGCCTAAGGGCTGTGCTCCCATCAGCCGGCTTTGTAGCTGGGGATACCCAGCCTCAGACAGGGGCAGCCACTCACCTGAGGCCACACAGTAACAGTGCCGTTGGGTCCAGGCCTGGGGCTCCGTGTGGACAGCACCTGGTCCACGGCCCCCAGAAATGAGCTGATCCTGGGGTGGCCTCCCCTTCCCGCCTGTCCCCGTCCCCGTGATGACTGAGCCTGGTCCTGAGAGTAACGCTGCAGCCTCGGGCAGCCCTGGGGTGGTGGGGGACTCCGTTCACAGCAGAGGAGGACGCAGCCCCCTGCCCGGCTTGGGACCACCTGGACCCTCAGAGTGGACCCAGCTGCCTCCCGGAGCTCTAGGACAGATTTGCAAGAAAAACGGCCGCCTGCTGCCCCCTAGAGCCTGGAGTCCCAGCAGCTAAGTCACACCTGCGGTGCTCCATCCAGAGCCAGGACAGGATACGCCTGGCAGCGCACCGGGCGGGCTGGTACTCTTGACTGCAGCAGGCGGAGGTGAGGGGGCAACAGAAAGATGCTCTGGGGGGAGAGGGTCCAGCGCACGCCGCTGGCTCCCGTGTCGGAGCCTTGGGAAGGAGTGGGTGCAGGGCTGAGGTGGGTACACACCCTGTGGCACGCTCGTTCTCACACACACGGACACTCACACACACACATACGTGTTCACGCATTCACGTCGTAACACAACCACAGACGCACACACCCAACCCAGGTGTGGAAACAGCGCTGGATTTAGGGGGATCCAAGTTCTGTAAATATTTAAGCACTGAAAATAAATCTGCTGGAGAACCCAGAAACAGACCCACACAAGCAGGCCCGGCTGATTTTGGCCCAGGAACAGCAGCATCTCAGTGGAGGGAGGATGGGCTTCAGCACATGAAGAGCCGGTAAAAATGAACCTCACACCCGACGCAGAATCACCTCAAAGTGGATCACAGACTTAAATGGAAAATGGAAAACTATAAACCTTTTAGAAAAAAGAGAGGAAAACAGCCGGAACCTAGGGCTAGGCAGAGAGTTCTCAGATTTGACACCACCAGCCCCATCCACGAAGGAAGTCTGATAAATTGGACTTCGTCAAAAGGCGACATCTCGCTCTGCGACAGACCCTAAGAAGATGAAAAGGCAGCCGCAGAGGAAATATTTACAAACCACATCCACCAAGGACTAGTACCCGGAACACATGAAGGACACTCAGAACTCAGCAGTAAGAAGACAAACAATCCAATCAGAAAGTGGGCAAAAGACCTGGAGACACTTTTCCCTGAGGAGGAGGTACAGATGGCAAATGAGCACATGAAACCATGGTCAGCACCATAGCCATCAGGGAAATGCAAATCAAACCCTCAGCGCGGTGTCACTGCACACCTGCGGGAACGGCCAAACTAAAAACTAGTGGCACCACCAAGCGCAGGCGAGGATGCAGAGCAACTGGATCCCTCCTACGTGGCTGATGGGAACGTGAAATCTATAGCCATTCTGGAAAAGTCGGCCGTTTCTTTAAAAGCTAAACATATTACGCTCCTGAGAAATAAAGACTTACATTCACAGGGAAACCTATACATCAAGGTTCATAGCAGCTTTATTCCTAACAGTCAGAATCCGCAGACAACCAGATGTCCTGGATGGAAAAGCGGATAACACGTGGTGGCACGTCCATCCCGTGGGTGGGACCCCGAAATAAAAAGGAACAGACTACACACCACAAGCTGGGGGAATCTCCGGAGAGCTATACTGAATGCGAAAGCTAATCCCAGTGACTCCATGCTTTCTGATTTCATTTATAGAACATCCTCAAAATGACAAAATTATAGAAATGGAGAACAGGTTCTAATCCCATGGAGTCAGGGATGTGATGGAAGGGCGGGTGTGACTGTGACAGGGCGGCAGGAGGGACCCCAGTGGATTCCCTATTTGTGATAGTGATGTTTTGCGGGATGTTAGCACAGGGGGAACTGGGTACCAGGGACCTGGGGCTCTCTGTGTTATCCGTTACAATTACATGTGAATTGGCAGTGGCTCAGCATGAAGCATCTGAATGTTTTTGAAGCACTCAGTGATAAACACACACACATCTGCCTGGAAACACCACGGTGTGGGGGGCGGGTGTTGCAGTGACGTCACCGTTTTTCCTTTCTAGCTCCTTCGCTTTGCCTTTTGTATTCTCTCCTTGTCCTACGTTGATACTGTATTACTTTCCTGATTATGACGAGGTGTTTTAAACAAGGAAATGTGTCAATAGTTAAACTTGCACCTGTCTTAGTTGCTTGCAGGCAGGACTCAGGGTCCCCAGGAGGGGGCGGCACCTGCCCATCAAAGCCACAGGTCCCGACTCAGCCAGAAGCACCTTCCTCTCCCAGGATGCAATACAGGAAACCCCTCCCTCTCAGAACAAATCGGACTTGAGACACGCGGCCCCCATGAGACTGCCCTTAAATGGAGAGAGCACCGGCCCGTGGGCCAACCTGCAGGTTCTGGGCTCACAGAGCCTCAGTCTTCCAACCTATAAAATGGGGATAATAGAACGTACTTGTATAAGGTCCCTGAGGCCATCACAACAGTGGCCACAAACTGGGTGGCTTGAAACAACACACATTTCTCCTCTCACAGTTTTGGGGGCTAGAAGTCCAAAATCAAAGTGTCAGCAGGGCTGGGCTCCCTCTGGAGGATCTTTCCTTGTCTCTGCAGCTTCTGGGGGCTCCAGGCATCCCTGGGCTGTGGCCTCATTTCCTCCTGTCTTCACATAGCTTCCCCTGTGTCTCAAATCCCCTTCCTTTTTCTTATAAAGACCCCAGTCATTGGATTTAAGTCCTGTTGTAATCCGGTGTGACCTCATCTTAACTAATTACATCTGTAACACCCTATTTCCAAATAAGGTACATTCTGAGGTTTCGAGTGGACTGAATTGGAGCGGGGGCAGGGGTGGACACTATTCAACCTATTACACCATATTTGTGAAGAAAGTTAGATGAACATAATTTACTTAAAAGTATTCTATCGAGTTTTAAGGTTTGGCAGGTGTAAGATAATAGGATTGCTAAACAGTGATGATCTTCTTCGTTCTTGATCACTAGGAAATGGTTTTCTGGGTGTTCCTGCAGCAGGGGGAGGGGTGGCAGGAAGGGACGATGCGGGGTGGGGGGAGGGAGGGAGAACATGAGACTGAATATGAGAACTTCTTGCCAGAAAGTTGAAAAAGTTATTGTTCCCTTCACTCAATTTCCTCCCCACGCCTCTATGAGGAAAATACGGTTATTGGAAGGATAAGGCTTGTGGCGGGGAGTATATGGATGATTGGACAGCTTGTGTGGGTGGGGAAACGCCTGGAAGAGGCAGCAGTGGGTGGGAGCCCCTTCCTGCACAGAGCCCGTGCATAAGAGCATCACTCCTGGCACCGCATAGAATGAGATAAAAGAAAAATGCAGGAATCGCAGCATCAGAGAGGGAAAAATAATGTTTTCTTAATTTCCTGGGAGACTAAGGGTCTTCCTACACACACATGTCTTCCTAGACATGTTACTGAAACTGTCCAGCAGTGTGCTAGGCCCCTTCCCGCCCTCCCGGCTACTGGCTGAGGCCTCGGTGGGCCTCCCTGGCCCCTATCCCCACCCCTGCACTGCCTCCCTGCCCTCGCCTGTGAGCCCTGACCCCTCTCCCTCTCTGCAGCTGCGTGATCTTTCTAATGCAAACCTGGCCCTGGCCCCTGCTTCCACCCACCTACAGCTCTCAGCCCAGCCCTCCGGGCTGGGAGCCCCAAAGGCAGAACAGATCTGGTTCCCTGGGGTCCCCAGGCCACTCACTTTGAGGAAAGGAGTGAGGGAAAGAACGATTGAATGAATGAGTGAATGCCTCATCGCTGGCCCCGAGCTTTGCACCCACTCCTAAGTGGCCCTGTGGTGCTTCCTGCAGGGCGATGTCCTGACCACCAAGTACCAGGTGGACCTGGGGGACGGCTTCAAGGCCATGTACGTGAACCTCACGTTGACCGGGGAGCCCATCCGGCACCGCTATGAGAACCCTGGCGTCTACCGCGTGTCTGTCAGGGCGGAGAACATGGCGGGACACGACGAAGCCGTGCTGTTTGTCCAGGTCAACTGTAAGTCCATCGTCCCTTTGAGGCCAAGTGTCTCTCCCTGTGACAGAGACCTGGTTCTTGGGGAAGCACGGGGAGCCCAAGGGCAGGGAGGCAGGCAGGCTGGGCTCGAGTCCACACCCGTGGTGGTCTGTGCGGCAGTGGGGATGATGGTGATGATGGTGATGATGGTGATGGTGATGGTGATGGTGATGGTGATGGTGGTGATGGTGATGGTGGTGGTGGTGATGGTGGTGATGATGGTGGTGATGATGGTGATGATGGTGATGGTGGTGGTGATGGTGATGGTGATGATGGTGGTGATGATGGTGGTGATGATGGTGATGGTGGTGATGATG